CAGCCGAGTTCCTTTGAAATGTAATATTCCATCACTCAGCCGTCTTCAGGCTTTCAGTCACAATCCCTCATTTCTGCTTAGCAGCAGTCGGGAGACTCATCAAAAACACATTTACGGGATATCTGGTGACTTGCTGAGGATCTTCACTGAACTCGCAAGATTTTAGGTCATATTCTGACAAAGTTTAAGGACAGCTGGAATATGTTACGCAAAAAGGACTCCTGGTTTCAATGTGTAACATACGTGGAGAGCCTTCTCTAAGATGAGGGTAACGGTGGAGGTTTGTGTTACCTCCTGGCGTTGACCATGCTCTCCAGCTCGTGTGCCTTGTGGGCAGAAGTGTGCAGTATTGGCTCTGGAATACCCGCCAATCGAGCCACGTTGAGGCCGTAGCTTCGCCCCGCAGCTCCTTCCGTTAACTGGTAGAGGAAGGTGATGAACTCTGGCTGCACCTCTTCATCTGCCAGCATGAGATTGTAGTAACAACCCAAGTCAGATTACCGTAAAGCATTTTTGGAGCGATGGCAGATGCTATAAAACATACCGCCGGTGTCGCTTGAGACGTCGGGCTCGTTAAGCAAGAAAGCCATGTGGTAGTTGGTCACGTGTTCAGGATGCAGCTGCTCCAGCTCACAGAGAGGAGGATAGTGGGTCACAAACAAGGTGAGAGACTTCACCTGCGAAGGAGAACCAGAAGTGTTAACATCTGGGGAGGGGGGGGGGTCTTTCTATATGTTTAAAAAAAGCTGAAGAACAGGTGGATGAATCTGCGTCGTTCATGTGTAAATTATCTTAGGTGTGTTCTCGCTGTGTCGTGGTTCTAATTCCATGCTTTCGTTCTTTTTAAACAGAAACAGTTTTGTTTACCTGTTTTGTAGCTACAGTTTCGCCATTGTGAATTCAATGCCGTTTGGCAAGTCTCAAATAAAAATTTGGGCATCTTACTGTAAAAAAATATACCATTAATGTAAAAAAGAAACTCTAAATAAACTATGATCACATCCAGAATCAAACCCAGGTCTTCTGCATGAGAGTCAGACATCTTACAAGGTGAGCTACACTCTAGTAACATTCACAGTATCTGTAACTTTTATATCCTTGATGACAGCTGAAACAACGTCAAACCAAAGAACGGTTCGGAGTGAAAATGGCTATTTTGTTGCTAATTAGCAGGAAATATCTAGAAGAAAGTTCTACAGAAAGTAGCTAAGGGTCCTCAGAAATGTAGCTAGCTTTGTCACTAGGCGTTAGGAACAGCGACAAAGTGGCACTGCCTCTCTCTCTGCTGCTAAAGCTACGGATAGCAAATGCTACGGGCGATGCCTGAGCGTGAACGCGCATGAAGCAGCCTGCTCGACCCGAGCATCTCTCTTTTTCTGTGATTTTACAGAAAAACAGGCAATCACAGTAAAAACGCCAGGGCTCATTCTACAGGACCAGGGCATTGCAGGAGAATGTATGAAGAAGACATTTATTATTTCTATACATGTTTTGGCTGTCAAACTTCCATAATGCCCCTTTAATGTTATCCTTTTTGAGAGTTTTTTTGTTTTGCATTATCTTAATAATGCTCTCCATCTGTTTGCACTTGTTTTTAGAACCTTTCATTACAGTTAAACCCATTTTAACTCCACTGTCGCATTTCTTATGTTGCCCCCTTCTTCACATTTTAACACCTCCTGTCGGGGACGTAACAGATAGGTTTGTGTAAAATAAAAGAATTGAGATTATATCTGTCCTAATGTGCATGAACTCGTTAGAAAAGTGTGATTTTTATGTTTGTCCTCAGTAGGGCTGCACGATATTAGGAAAAACCTGCGATATTCGATAACAGTGATTAATATTGCGATGACGATATTACTTGCGATAAATAAAAACTTAACTCGGGAACAAATATAATCGAAAACAAACAAATAAAAAAGCATAAAAATGAGAAATGCAAAAGATGTGAGGAAAGGGGAAAAGAAAATGATCGAGAAAAGGCGGCCAGTGATCCCGGGAAAAGCAGAATCAGCAGAACAAAGCTAACTCAGGTGTTTGCTAACCATTAAAATTAAGTGCCGTCCACCTCGGGGGCGGGAATCTAACCGACGAGAACCCACCCGATTGGCCAAATGGGTGAAGAGCTCTATTTGATTAGTTCAACATCAAGCTTCTGTTTGATTGACAGAACGCACTATGTGGAGCAAACATATGAGCTGACCATTCATTGCGATATTTTTGTTCTTTGCGATATGCATATTGCTCACGCTGATATCGCGATAACGATATATTTACGATATATTGTGCAGCCCTAGTCCTCAGCTATAAGGTGCATTAAACAGGAACAAGAACAACATCACGTCTGTTGCTGCTCTGTAATATTATCTAGAACCTTTCACAGAACAAAATCAAAACTATGATTTCAGGAAGTCAGACAGCACGTAGGGACAAAAAACTAACAAATGTTGCACTTTTCCCAGCCAACATTGGTATAACTGAAACAGTTAAAGGATGAGTGAGCAGGGTTTCCCCCAGGCTGTGCTTGGCCGCCCGCCAGGCTAAGCGTCATGTCCCGCCCCCCTCCCCGACCCTACCGTGTCCGACGACACGAACGGTGCAACGAAACTAGAGCCCTCCATCAGCTGATACTGGCGAGAAGCCGCAGCGGATCATGGGCGACCCCCCACTGTCTGACGACCGAATCCGCCAGGCTTAACTCGTTTTCTGGGGGAAACCCTACAGTGTGTAGCCGCCGCGTTTATGTCTCATCAGAAATAATTATTTCTGTTATTTATAAACTTTTCAACATTCATTCGTCCGTTTTCACCCACTTATCCGAGTCCGAGATGCAAGGGTAGCAGTCCTAGCAAACCGCTCTTTCCCCTACTATCTCCAACAGCTCTACCTCCAGGATCCCAAGGCATTCCCTGGACAATGTGGAGAAATAATCCCTTCCCAGTGGCCCAGTGGTAGAGTGTCCGCTCTGGGACTGGGAGATCGGGGTTCAAATCCCAGTCATACCAAACACCCAATGCCTCCCTGCTTGACACTCAGCTTTAAGGGTTGGACTGAGGGGTTAAACCACCAAATAGTTCCCGAGCACAGCCACAGCTGCAGCTCACCACTCCCCACGAGGATGGGTCGGATGTGGAGATGAATCTCACCAGTGTGTGATGACTAACCCCCAAATTCCACTACCTCCGCTCCGGTCCGCCCCCGTCTTCCGCTGCCGCTCGCTTCCGAACTCAAATTATACTGTACCCGCTCTACAACGGCTCCGCTCCGGTGCGGAGACCTGAGGCGGGAAAACAAGCATGCGCGGGATTTTCGAGATCTTGCAATACAGTCCGAGCAATAAACGCGGAAGTTAGATCCAAACACCCGTTGTGTGGGAGAAGCATCGGCATGAACTGTTTAATCTGCCCATCATTTGTGTAGAGAGATCAGCAGTGTTTGGATCAACAAAGTGTGACTACTTTGATAGTAGAAACTGTATTTATGGCTTACTTTTGTGCATTTAAAGTTCAGCCGCCATTGATAGTTGTTAAAAGTTGTTAAACCTGTGCATATGAAACAAAAAACGCCTTTTGTTTATCGATTTATTGTGAAAAACTGAAGTTGTGCTTGCTCCATCTCCTGTTGGGCGGTTGTGATTCCTGTCCATTTACTGCGGAGGTGCTCCGGCGTCCGGCAAAAATAGGATCGATTCTATTTTTGCCGGACGCCGGAACAGAGGGCGGCGCACGGCGCCGCACTGCCGGAGCACGGCCGCAGTAGTGGAATAGCTCTGATTGACCACAACGGGACCGATTTTGCTCCGGCGTTCGTGTCGGAGTGGAGCGGAGGTAGTGGAATTTGGGGGTAATGGGAATTTAACTTAAACTCTAACATGTCCTGGGTCGACCCAGGGGCCTCCTTCTGGCAGGACAAGTCTGAAACACGTCAAACCACATGCAGGAGTGGGAGTTTTACTCTTCAGAATTCCCGGTCTCGTCATCCTATCCCGAAGGCTGAGCCAGGCCACCCGAGTGTGTAAGCGCATTTCTGACACTTGTATTTCCAATCTTGTTATTTTGGTCACTTTGGTCATCACCCCACAGCTCATGAGGCGATGGCGGGGATGATGATGATTGCCCGGTAAATTCAGAGCTTTTTTTATACCTCATTCAAATAAAAAGCTTGAATCGATTTGTGAAAAGTCACAGCGCTGGTGATGAGGCCCATTATAATTTATACCTGAAACGAGCTGAACACATTCCCTTCTTCCTATTCCAGGTGGAAAACATAAATCCAGATTTTAAACTAAACGAAAGTTCACAATGTTGACTCGCACTTCTAATATTCACCTTCAGATCCATTTCTGGGGACTTAAACATGCCGAGCAACTCCGAGCGAACCCATCAGCTCCACAGCAAAGCTCTTTCTGAGAAGATTACAATCATCAGATGCAATCACAAGGAACCAGAAGAAAAACACCAGGACTGAGTCCACGTGTGCGAGAACAATGCAGGCACAGAGAGCCAAGCAGAGCATGTGGTTGGAGTTTTGTGCACCAGCATGAGTCCATCAGACCAGGTGCTCCCACAAGGATGGATATAGTGAGCACAATATTCATATATTAGTGTCCTGCAGGTTGCACGTTTTAAAGCTGGGCATGATTTTCTTCTTCACCGAGTTAGTGCTGAAACATGCAAGTCGGAGTCACGTTCAGGGGCGGATTTAGGACTGAAGAAGATCCGGGGCTTAACACATGCGCGCACGCGCGCACACATGTGACACGCACTAGTCAACATCATATATGTCTTGTACCACATAATTTTTAATCTGAAGCTACATATTAAGCATTTTCAGGGCAGAGTATTGCTCCTGTTAGTGTTTAGTGTGAGATGATAGTAAATATTCCCGTTCTTTCTCCAACAACTTTACCTGATAGTAAGCTAACTTTAGGCAAACCAGCAGCACAACAAATATTTTCAAATAAGACTCACAAACCTGAGTCAACACCAGTCTCATCAAAGCTGGGGTTCTGTCGTTGTACTTTTGGTCTAAAAAAACGTCCTTATGTCCATCTTCACTCATGCGTTTCAGGCAGAGAGTGTAGAAGAAGCCGGCTGCTGAAGGGCTTCTTCTTCAGTGGTGGAGGCTCAGGCAGGCTGTATACAAACTACTGCCAGCTGCGCCCTCTCTGTTGGACTTTGGTACTGCATGTTACTTCCACGATTTAGATCCGGGGCTTTTCATAAAACATTCGGGGCTTCAGCCCAAGTAGCCGGACCTAACGCCGCCCCTGGTCACGTTGCAAATTAAACGGGAATAAGTAAAAGTCTGAGAAGGTCTGAAAGTCACGGCTGGAATGTGGGATGTTTCAAACTTGCTGTTCCGAATGCACGTTTAAAAAGCTGTGGAGAAAGGGCTTTCTCTGTCTGTGCACCGAAGCTGTGGAACGCATTACCACTGCTAGTGAGGCTAGCACCAACAGCTAGCATTTTTAAATCACGCCTAAAAACTCACTACTTCAACCTAGCTTATACAACATAATTATGACCATCACTGACATCTGCACTGCTTAAAAATGGACTCCACAATTATCGACTTCCGTACTATTGAGGTTCTTTTTTAAAATGTTTTTTCTAATTTTTTATTCTCCCTGTGTCTTATTGATTTTTAGCTGTTATTTTTGGGAATTTTGTTGTATTTCCTTATTATCTTTTATCTGCGTTCGACATGTTTGTATAACGCCGGTTTAATTAACTAACATTTTTAGTGTACAGCGCCTTGTTTGGTTGTAATGCCTTGTGAATGCGCTTTATAAATAAAATTGGATTGGAAACTTGTAAAATGACAAATCCACCAGAAAACACGTCTGGTTTAAGGGAACTTCTCTCGTCGGTGTTGTGGCTATTACTGAGTAACGTTACAAAGCCCATCTATACTCTTTACTCCTCACATAAGTGTCTCGGACGGAGAAACGTTTGTTTCCATAACAACCGAGATCAAGGAGGAGTAGTTGAACTTTTGACATGAACAGAGTCTGAGAAGGAGGAGGAGGAGGAGGAAATGGTGTAGGAGAAGGACCAAAAACCATCAAGGAGGCTTCTTCCTGCGAAGCACCACTTCTTTCTGCACTCTTTTGCTTTGTCTTCCTTTAATAGCAAGTCTTCTCTGACAAATCGATGCCGTTACACAAGGATGAGATCTCCCTCCTCCTGCCAGCAGCCTTCTGCTGCATAAACTGCTACCAACACATTTTCAGTCTCTGTTTTCCAACAAACTTGCTTAACCTCAAGATTCTGTCCAGAGACTAATGCGGAACTGGCAGGAGGTGAAAACTGGAACGAGGTTTTCAAGATAAATGTTTTGTTTATCTAAATTTGAATATGGTTAACTGGAATGAAGTAAAACAAGTTGGACTAAAATCAAAGGAAGGAAATATTAGTGGATAGCAGCACTCATAGATTACAGAAAAGGCAGAACTGGAGTCGGTTTGGGACTCGTTTCAGTGCACATGTGTCAGGGACTTGCATAAACCAGCCAGGAGAGCACGGATGATTTTCTTGACGTCTTAATTTATTACTTTCTTTTCTTTTCTCCAAAGAGGGTTCAAACCAGCACTTGACATTAGAAGACAATGGACGTAGTAACAAAGTAACCCAAACTCAGGGCCTGACTACAGACATGCACAAAAAATAACCTCCTACAGACACAACAGGATCAACTTAAATAGTGGCTGATCAGACCACTGCCAGCACACTAGGGTGGGGAGACATCAGTAAACAAAGAACATAAATAAACTACCCCTAACAGATTCATACTAATCAGTCCATTCTGTTTGAGTTACTTCAAATGAGAACATATTACCATCAAAACCCGACTACTATTTACAAAAGAGAATAACTAAATACACAAACACAGGAATCTTCTCCCTTGAGAGTTGGTATGACACAATGGTGCAGATTAGGCCAAGTGATCCGCTACAGCTGCTCCAACTCCAAGGCCACGGGCAACTCAAAGAAATTCCCATCTGTACCGGGTCGGCCCGGGCCGGGTAGCGTAGGTTGTTTACATATCTGGGTGGCCTGGTACTTTTCCGGGCCAACCAAGGCTCATTCTCAGCCCTCTTCTCGAGGGGGTCTGCTTCAGGCCGACCAGGGCCAACACGCCCACTGCTGACAGCAAATCCACACCTTCCATTAGAGCAAGCCTCTGATTGGTGGGTAGAATCAGCCCACATGGGCTTAAGGCCAGGATGTGTGGAATCAACCGGGCCAGGCTGCGGCCGACTGGGGCTACCCGGCCCGGGCCGACCCGGTACAGATGGGAATGGCCCAATAGAAACCCCTACAGACTAAAACTGATGAGTAACTGAATGTGTGCACTTCATACAGTCACCCAAACAGTCAGTCCATGGAAACAAACACCTTTGTTCAAAATAAAGCATCAACAGTCATTTACTTGAAGTGTGACAGCAGGGCAGACACGTAAAAATGCCAAGTTCGAACCACCGGCAGAAACGGCTAAAAGAGAGAAACCGCTAACGCAACAAACGCTCCAATGTTCTGATAGAAATCTGAAAACCAGAAGGCTGCGGTTGGTTTGGAAATACCAACAGTAAAACGTGTTCTCACAAACAACCAAGCCGTTCTGCACTGATAGAAAAAACGAGACCCTGATTCAGATCCTTCAGATTGTCTAGTCCCTTCATGGCCACCAGCTAAACAGATGTTGGTGTGCTTTATCGCAATCACAGGCAGAACAACATGCTTGGATCGCAGGATTAAAGATGTCCTGCCTGAGGTCAATGCAGACCGTCTCGTTGGACAAATCCGCTCTCTCCAGAAAAGCTGCAGCATGGAGGAAACACACCACACATGCACACGTGTGTCTTGCTATACTTGGGAGGACCATTCATCGACTTCCACTCGTTTTAGTGACTGCGTTATGTCTAACCCTAACCTCAAGTAAAACTGAATCCACATTAGAGGTCGACCAGTAAATGTTTTACTATTGCCAAAACCAATGCCGATTTTCACGGGCCAACATCCATGGCCAATATCGAGACATTTTCCACCTTCTTTTCATGCTAAAATGTCATTAATAACTTCAGTTGATGCACAAAATTTCTGAAACTAAATCAGTTTTTGAACTCTGAATTCAACTAAAGGTTAAACCTTAACTTTGTGCACTGTTCAGTGTTAAAGACGCCTAAATAAAGTGAATTCATAGTATTGTTTACGCAGATGTTACTAGTGAACCTAAAAATACATTAAAATAAATTATGCTGCAGCACCAAGCTGCCCGATAACGTGCCAGACTTTAAATCGGCTTTACTAAGTACAAATATCGGCCGATGTCGATGCGTGGAAAACGGTAAATTTTGGCCTGATACATCAGTGGCTGATATATCGGTCTACCCCAATCCACACCGTACTTCTAAAAGAAATGAGTAGAAAGTTTAACCATATGAGGACAAGATAAATATCCTCAAATGGTCAAAATGTACTCACTTTATAGGCGAACAATAAATATTGTTCCTTACAAGTACGTATTCAAGTTCAACCATTCATAATCTCATTAAAAATTAAAAGAGTCCTGTGAAATTTCAGAGAGCTGAAAATTAATGTTGGACGACGGTGATGTGTGGACCTGCAGGCGGAGACGGAACTAGAATCCGAAAGTTCTGTGGTGGAAATCTGTGCATAGGCTGAAATTAGAGGGTTGCCGTCACACGATGTTACAAGAACAAGCAAAAGCCTCACGTCTCTGAAGTTAAGCTGTGCAGAGTAAACACCGGGGGAAATGAGCAGCCGTATGTCGTGATTGGAGCCACAACCTGAAGCACATGTCAAACAGCAGTAATGAGTTTCCGCCGCTTAGGGTATCGATCCATTTGTTCAACACTAAGCAGATAAATGCAAATAGTTTAAGTTGTCCACAAGCTGGTAATGATCAACTCGCTAGTGTAGGGGTGGGCAATATAAACGATATAAGGTAGAAACGATATAAAATTGGGTAATGATAGTTTTTGGCTATATCGCAATAGCACACGACTTCACTAAAGGTGCTTTTATAGGACACACCATGCCGGCATAATATTACCGCGATGGTATGTCTATAGACGCGCCATGCCGGCATGGCGTTGCGCGAATATTGCGGCATTCGTTCTGCCTCGCTTGGTAGTAATATATCCGCATCAGCCCCTCACCTCTGACAGCTAAACGCGTGTCAGCCCCGCTAATCCCTTTGGAGCGACTGTGGGAGGCCCCCCCCACCACCGCAAAAGAGGGTGGTCGCATTAGTGACGTGTACTGCGCGCCGAGTGCCGGCCGGAAGGAAAGCCGGTGTCGGTACAAGATCTGCTCGGGTGCAAGATCGGCTCGGGGTCCATCGAATGCCGATGACCCTTACGGAATTACGTAATCATGTACGTTATTATCACGTTACGTTGGTCCAGGCAAATCTTTCTGTTGGAAAGATGGACAACTTTTACAAAGAAATCCATCATTACCTCTTTGAAAATACACTTTTAGCATAGAGCTGCCTGTATATTAGGGCTGAACGATTAACTGCGACCTCCCTATATCTTGTCTTGTTGGAGAGGTGTCTGATGGCAGTTGATTCTAGCTTCAGCTTTGCTACTATAAATGCCAAAACCCTCCCCAGGGTGCCGCGGCAAATCCCGTTTTAAAAACGCTCTAGTCCTGTAAAAACAGCTTAAGATGTGCACCCTGCTGACATTGGGGCAACAGAATGGCAGTGACTGCAAGCATGGAGTGGGTGGAGGAGGCCTATATGCCTCAAGTGGCATATATTTGCCACATGAGGATATTTAAAAGCATGCCATTTTGACATATATAAACAGAGGAAAAAATATATCGCAACATATATTGTTACCGCACATGCTTCAGATTATATTGCAATATAGATTTGAGGCCATAGCGCCCAGCCCTAATTGATACCTCAAGCTCCCTCTTCGTTCTCATCCTTGGAGGAGTTGCTATCGTAATGCCAAAATGGAGATCACACAACTATGTGCGACACCCCTGAATCCCATCTGAATACAAACACACACACACACACACACACACACACACACACACACGTGTGTGCTTGCATAACTCAAAGGGACATTACAAACACATGAACTTTCTGCAGACATTAAAATAAGAGGTTGAATCTTTTTTCTCCTTTAAGGCAAAGCTGTGTGGTGAGCAAATGAAATGTTGAGTAGTCTGTCATCAGCCTTGTTTGTGTCTAAAACCAGGTCTGCTGCAGGGATTTGTTCCTTTATTAGTTCGGGATCCTTGGGTCACCCAACTTCCTTATTTCTTTGATTACTTCTTGTTCTCATGCTGAACACAGATCCTGCTTCTCTGTATTTTTGCTTATTCAGCTGTTGTGTTTCTGAAGCACTTTAATTAGCTTTTCTTAATGAACAATCACCTCTACACAAACTAAAGGTGTTCTACATTCAGAAACGCATAAAGCACAAGCCTACGTCTCTGATGAAGTACTCCAGGGTGGCATAGGCGATGGCGATCCCGTCATGAGTGCTCGTTCCTCGTCCCAGCTCATCGAGGATGACCAGCGAGCGCTCGGTGGCTTGACGAATGATTTCCGAGGCCTCTTTCAGCTCCTCCATAAACGTGCTGCGCCCTTTGTAGATGTTATCTGAAGCTCCCATTCTGATAATCAACCAGAAGGAAACAAAGACATGTTTTAGCACAAGTCAATCTCAGATTTGGGGATTTTGAGTCACTCCCATGAGAAAAACAAGTGTGGGTGATCTGAACACTTTAATGACCCTGATTCAGTGATGTCACAAATTCTAAATTGAAAACGTTTGTCTCCGCTTAGTCACAGAACTCATGGTAAAAGCTGCCAAACTTGGTCCAAAAAGAACCTGTCACGCATCTCTGTCATAATTGTGAGGGATCCCGGATTCTTTGAATGATGCCATCCACCATGACTGTGACACACTAAGCAGGGGAAAACAATTCATTTGCACCCACTGCTCCTTTACATTCCTGACAACTGGCATCTGTTATATTGGACTTACCAACTGGGTTACTTATGTGCCATCAGCAGTGGTGGACCCTACACACTAGGGATGTAAGAAAATATCGATATGGCAATATATCGTGATCGTGATATTTGTTTCTGTGATTATTACATCGATATTCAAAAACCGTGTATCGGAAATATCGATATGGCAATATATCGTGATTTTTTCCTGCGATTATTACATCGATATTCAAAAGCCGTGTATCTAATTCTTGAAAGATTTTACATGCAAACATTTATGTATTTTCTTTTCGTTTTGTGCAATTCAATCGCCGCCCGCTAGTTGGCAGCAGTGTGCGACAGGTTTTGTTTCCATCATTGAAATGTCATCACGGTTCAGATACCTCATGTTAAACATGTTACGTATCAGTTTGGACAGTTTATTGAACATTCTTACAATAAATTCAGTAAAAAAATTGCTTCTAACGTCTGACTGAATGCATCGCAATATATCGTGATATATCGTATCGTCTCCCCTGTATCGTGATATGTATCGTATCGCCAGAATTTCAAGAATACACACCCCTGCTACACACCTATAAGCTACTACCCAAACCACAACTGTAACAAAAATGGAGAGAAAAGAACCCTGAATCTAATAATAACCCCAAGAAGCAAACGAAAAATGTTAATAGTGTTATAATCATTAAGCCTCAGGTCTGGTCATCTTCTCGGCATCATTCAGGGATTAACAGAATTTACGAATCTGAAGCCAAAAACATGCCGGTGTTCAGACTAGATTGCAAAATAAAAAGGAGAAATGTTAGATACATTTTACAAAATACAAACATCTGGAATCAAGGTTCTGATGAACACACGATGTTTTTAAGGCTAGTAACAGAAAAAATAAAGACTTCTCTGATACAAAGTCATTAAATATGTCCCTGATTGTGGTTCTCACTTTAAAACCTGCCTCTTCCTAACATTATGTACCTATGAATGAACCACCAGCAGGGGTTACCATGGTTACAACTAGCACATGCCATCCAGAAGTGGAGGAGTGGCAGACGAGATGCTGTGTTTCATTCGCCAGTTTATGATGTGTGCATGTTTGCCTGGAAGTCCAGGAAAACCACGACAAATCTGCCCTGGAAGAGGTGAGGGAGGGATGAATGGACAGTACGAGACGGCTGCTGACGAGGGAAGACGCGGCGGCACTCCACCAGCCAGGTGCCCCGCTCGTCTGAACACAAACTCACTGATCCTTGAAATAGACTCCATTTGTTAACACCTCCCACTGCTTCAGAAATAACGATTAGCTGCATTTCACATAATGATCAGACACGATAAATCTGCCCTATTTAATGATGCTGTGTCTCTAAAGGGTTAAAAGAAAATGTTCCATTATCAGGGATGTCATATAAAAGATGCGTTTTTATCTCCAGGTTAACTTTTTGGTTTTTCTATTCATAAAATTATCCAAAGCTCATAAAGTATAACTCTCCTCCAATCTGTCACAGTTTTTCTGAATATTTAATTTCCAAAAGTTTATAAACTATGTTTTATTATTATTATTATTATTATTTTGCTTCTTTTGTTTAGTGTTGTTTAACTTCTAACCTTCAAAACACAAATAAAAATAAAGTCATTCAACCAGATTTGTGTGCTTTTGGACACTTTTTTTGGAAATACAATGAACAATAACTTGGACTTGGATTTAAGTCGAAGTCGAGTCATCTTTTGGATTCTGACTACTTGAGGAATGAAAACACAACAGAAGAAGCATTTTAAGTTTCTGGAAATTCATTCTTATTATTATAATTAAATACAAAATTGGGAGTGGGACTCAAAATTCAAAGCTGAGGAGTTGGACTTGACTCAAGTACCAAGAGACTCAATCTTGGAGCTTGACTGCCACACATCTGGAGGTCCTGTCATTCAGCCGGTGGTGCCGCTGCGGTGCGCTTTGATCAACGCACGTTCGGTTAAGAATAAAACGTTCATCTTGAAGGATTTCCTCATCGATCGTGAGCTGGATATTCCTTATATTACAGAGTCGTGGACTGGGCCGGGTGAGTTGGATCCTATTGCTGAACTGTCACCTGATGGGTGTACCTACCTGAATGTTCCCAGGCCAGTGGGCCGTGGCGGGGGTTTATTGACTATTTTCAAGGCTAGTATTCCCTACCGGCCCATCTCCTATGGGGAAAATTGTGATTCATTCGAACCGTCCACCTTTGAACTTGGAGTGTCACCTCCAACTCTCTGTGTTCTGTTATATAGGCCACCTAAGGCTAATTCTTTTTTTTAATTTTTTTTTCAATTTTCGGACATTCTCACTGATGTTCTCCTTAAGTACGACATTTGCTTATACTCGGAGATTTTAATATTCATGTCTGCTGTCCTGAGAAGTTTCTGGTGGCTGATTTTTGTAATTTAACCGACTCTTGTGGACTGTCTCAGATGGTTAACTTCCCCACTCATGGGAGGTCTCACGTATTGGATTTAGTTTTTTCTTTTGGTGTCAATATAACTGAGGTTGGCTCAGATGTTTTTTCTGTCTGATCATGTTCATGTGTTGTTTTCGGTGGCTGTGGCCCAGCATGTCTCTCCTTGGCAGGTGGGGTTTTGCCGTGCTCGTCGCATTACCCCTTCCTCAATAGTTGAGTTTTATGTTTTAATTTCTGAATTTTTTTTTTGTTTTGTTTTCTGAAGAGGATTCTTGGGTCCCTGAGATCCTCTTATCTTTTTTTACTGCCTCGTGCACTTCTGTGCTTGATCAGATTGCCCCTCTAAGATCCCGACACTCCCGCTGTCGCGCTGACCCTTGGCTCAACCGTCATACCCGTGCTGCCAGGCGGGAATGTGGGAGATGTGAGCGGTGGTGGAGAAAGGTTAAATCTCCGACCTCCTTCCAGCTTCTCCGGGTGGTCTGGAGGAATTACCAACGCGTTTATTGGAAGACCCGTTTGAATGATTTTGCTACTATTGTTACAAAATTTTCGGGTAACCAGAGAGCTCTCTACTTCACTATAAGTGCACTTTTGTCACCCAACGTTCCCCTGCTTAATTCGGAGGAAAGGTGCACCCAATTTTTTAGATGTTTTTATCTCTAAAATTGCCATAATTAGGGCTCAGATTCTGCCTCCCTCTCACCCAGAAGCCCCTGTTTCTTCACCATTACACTCCTTTGAGCGTTGTTCCTCCATCTCTTCCTTCTCCCAAGAGAAGATAGTGACTGCTTTGAAGCCCACTGGCTCTCCTTCTGATTTTATGCCCCCTAGCTTTCTCAAGGAAGTCTTCCCAGTGGTTGCTCAACCGATCCTCGAGATCCTTAATGCAAGCCTCAGAACTGGGATTGTTCCCCAACAGTTTAAGCATGCGGTGGTCCAGCCTATTCTAAAAAAGCAAGGCTTGGACTCGAATGACTTGAACAATTACCGTCCTATATCTAGGCTCTCCTTCCTGTCGGAATTGTTGGAGATGGTTTTTACCCAGATTTTTGATTATCTTAAATTTAATGTTTTAGACATTTTTATGTCTGGCTATCGCCCACACCACAGTTCTGAGACTGCTCTTATTCGTGTTTTCAACGATATTTTGCTTGCCTCTGATTCTGCTTCTCATGTGTTGTTGGTACTTCTAGATTTATCGGCCGCTTTCGACACTGTCGATCACGCAATCCTACTACGGCGACTTGAGCAGTTAATTGGCATTTGAGGAACTGCTTTAGAGTGGTTCCGATCCTATTTCAATGGCAGAAGTTTTAATGTTGTCTTAGGGAGGTGCGCCTCTAGAGTGGCACCTCTTCATTGTGGGGTTCCCCAGGGGTCCATTTTAGGCCCGCTTCTTTTTAATCAATATATTTTACCTTTGGCAGCGATTTTCAGAAAATTCGGGGTGAATTATCATCTCTATGCTGACGACTGCCAGCTGTATGTGGCTCTTAAAGCGGCTGGCCCTGTGCAACCACTGACTGACTGCCTGAATGAAATGAAGTCATGGCTTTCTGCCAATTTCCTCCATCTGAACAGCTCCAAACTGGAGGCAATTTGTTTGCCCTCTGCTCCCCCTCTGCTGTGGAGCCATCTCTGCCTCATTCTTTGTCAGTTTTTCTGAAGCCGACAATAAAAAATTTGGGGGTCATACTGGACGCCAATTTTAAAATGGATACACAGATAAACCAGAGATTCGGGTCGTGTTTCTTTCATCTTCGCCGGCTGACTTAATTGAAATCGGTCCTTAACAAGAGAGATCTCCACACAGTTGTTCGTGCTTTTGTAACGTCGCGTTTGGACTATGCTAACTCTCTGTTATATGGGGTTCCCTCCTCTTCAATGGTACGCCTCCAATTGGTACAAAATGCTGCAGCGAGGTTTCTAACAAACACAGACCGATGGCAACACATCTTATCTGTTTTGGCAAATTTGCACTTGCTTCCTGTTCAGTTTCGGATTAAGTTTAAAATTCTACTGCTGGTGTATAAATCTTTGCATGAAATGGCGCCTTTTTATTTGACGCAGCTTTTAAGCCCCTATGTTCCGGTGCGAACCTTGAGGTCCTCTGACCAGCACCTTCTGCTCGTCCCTCCAGCTCGCTGTAGGGCACGTGGCAAACAGGCCTTTTCAGTTTGTGCGCCTAAGCTTTGGAACCAACTCCCCCTGACGGTCCGACTTGCCCC